CCGAGTACTTGAATAGACAGATTACTAACATGCTTATCCTTAGTTTGTACTTTTTTTATGAGAATGTACTAATCTGTATCTTTTAACCCTAAAGCATATTTTTAATTTGGACATTCTTCTTGATTTTTTTTTTTCCATAATTAAATTTCAATGTGTCTTCACTGCTCCAGAGACTCTTGTTATATCAATTCGAAAAACTCTGTTCTGGAGTACATCAGGTAGTCCCTACCTCAATTAAAGCCGTGCTCATGTCAGTGAAAAGTGGGTTGTTTTGTGTCTATTTGTAGTGTTTTTGTGTTGCCTGCTTGGCTGGCCAGATGTGAGGAGGAGAGGTATGGAAGGTCAGGGCTGCTGAGTTCACTACTCTTTGTTGTGGAGCCTCACACTCAGTGAACCAAACCACTGGCCATGGAGGTCAACCACAGCATTGATTCCTGCCGCCTGTCAATGTGTCAGAGTGCATGCGAGCATGTGTTTCAGAGGAAAAAGACCAAAGTAGAAAGACATGAAAGGCCTGTTTTGTTTTGAATATTTGTAATGGCCCTCCAAGACTCTCTGCATAAAGATTGTGTAAACAGCAAAAATAGAGTGAAGAAAGACAAGAGTGCAGTGGAAGTGGTCTGCCTGGATAGTGTTGTCATCTGACATCATTCTCTCTCTAATATAGATAGCTTTTCTCTATTAAATAGGTAAAATCACACTTCTGAATTAAATCAATCAATTCACTTTTGATTTAAATATACTGAAAAAGAATACGTTTTGGAAAAATGTATGTTGGTTTAGTGTTCTAGATTGCCGTGTTGAAATTCTCATGCAACGCCTCATGTTTTAGCAGCCGGTTGTGTTTCTGGCAGATGATGACCTCTGATGTGAGCCAGATGTGCTTGTATGCTCTTTAAATCACATGCAAGTTGAGTTTAATAAGGATTATTGCCAGATTTAGGAGTGTCAAAGCAATTAACGCCTACATCATCATCATAAGATTTTGGAGATGCTAATGTGCTGTTAGGTCTACAGCTTTGGCTACATGTTGAATCAAGCTTGCTCACTGTAGGAGACACAGCTGAGTGATTCATGCTCGTTTAGTCTCAGTAGCTTGGATGGACTCATGAAACATAGTCAAAATACTAATTTATTGTGTTTAAAAGTCACATTATTCATCTGAATGCAGTTTTATTGCTGCCAAAGTGTCTGCACGACTCAGTTTGCACTTTGTTTATATTCAGAACTTTTTGGTGTGTTAGCAGCCCTCATTTTTTAAGTTTGGGAAGACCAGCAGTGTTCGAAATAGTGTACTACCATACCTGTCTTACCGTTTCTACAATGCGTATGTTTGGAATTTCCAGATGACCGTGCAGTATTGCATC